TTGTCTGCTTCATTAATATTATAGATGTTATTCACTACTACATACAAATGTTTACGAACGACGCTAAGTTATTCATGGAAATTAAGAAGCAAGTGAATTATGAAGCCTTAGGCTATGTCCCTTGTGCGAGCGTTCTGCGGCATCCAGCGACCACACCAGTGAACGCGCTACCTTGGTGTATCTGACAAACATATGTGTTTTCTTTGATATGTCCCACGTAGACGCTTGAAGCATTCGTGAGCGACTAGGAAGCTGGAACTAGACGCGCGACCTGGAAGCAGCTATCAAATATTTTGATCGTCGCTTCCTCAGTCACGCGAGTCCTCGCATTCTACATCAAAACTAGAGAAGGCTTTACATTAATTTTCCACTGTTAACAGTTTGATCTTGCCAAGATATATATCCTTGTGGACTATTAAAGTAGATGCAAAATGTTTCTCTCACATTCTTTGCTGAAGAATGTGAAACATTGTTTATTCTAGAGACTGCTGTGTTATTCTCAACTGTACATTCTTGAATTGCATATGACTTTGCGTCCAGACCCTCTGTGTCAATGATGATATTACGGAAAAGTGTAGCACACTTTGCAGTGTCAATAGCAGTATCCACCTTTATTTCAATAGCTTTATTTAAAATTCGCCTACTTCCATCCAGCAACCTCCTCTGATAAATGGGATGTTTTTTCCTCGCTACCTCCGCAGGTACCACATGTGCCTGCATCGAGCAACCAGGGCGTAGACGCGCGACCTACTTTCCAAAGCGACCTGTGTCCCCCCGTCGGTGTTTTGCCGGCATATACATGCTGTCTACGCATCACAGACGTTTGCTGGTACTTTTAGAAAATGATGCCTTTCAACGTGTGGTACCTGCAGATATACCAAGAAAAAACATCCCATATATCAGAGGAGGATGGACGTAGGCGAATTTCACCATCTCTATAAGGAACTTCGCCAAGATCCAAAGAAGTTTCACGAGTACACCAGAATGTATTCTGATTGGGGACGAGGCCTACCCACCCTGTGTATATTTGTTGAAACCTTATCCTAGGAATGCTCTGAACAAAGAAAAGAGACTACGGTAATTACAGATTGTCACGTGCCAGGCGTGTTGTAGAGTGTGCATTAGGAATTTGTATCAATAAATGGAGAATTTTAAATAAAGCTATTGAAACAAAGGTGGATAATGATGTCGACATTGTAAAGTGTGCTACACTTTTCCATAATATCATCTGGACGCAAAGTCATTTGGAATTCAAGAATGTACAGTTGAGAATAACACAGCGCCCTCGAGAATAAACAACGCTTCACGCTCTTCGAGAAACTTTTAGCAGCTACTTTAATAGTCCACAAGGATATATATCTTGGCAAGATCAAGCTGTTAACAGTGGAAAATGAATGTATAGCCTTCTTTAGTTTTGATGTAGAATGCGAGGACTCGCGAGACTGAGGAAGCGACGATCAAAATATTTTGATCACTGCTTCCAGGTCGCGCGTCTAGTTCCAGCTCGCGAACGCTTCACGCGTCTGCGTAGGGCACATCAAGGAAAACACATATGTTTCTCTGCTACATCAAGGTAGCGCGTTCACTGGTGCATGTGGTCGCTCGATGCCGCAGGATGCTCCCACACGGCTGACATAGCATATACAGGAAGATAGATCTCTGTCGGCTTCAGGAGTGGTCAGAAAAATGGTTGTTAAGATTCGCTGTTACGAAATGCAAGAGGATGCATCTAGATCGTACCAACAGTAAGGATGCATATCGCATGTCCCAACGTGACGAAGATACATAGGGTTGCCATATCTGAACATTAAAAAAAAGAGGACGTTCCCGAAGACATCCTGCCCCCCTCCCGTCCGGCACACACTTTGGCGCTATGTAACCTTGAAGCAGCCGTGACAATTAATTTTGCATATTTGCATAGCATAATTATTATTATTATTATTATTATTATTATTATTATTATTATTATCATATATATATATATATATATATATATATATATATATATATATATATATATATATATATATATATATATATATATATATATATATATATATATATATATATATATATACACACACACACACACACACCAGAATCGGTGTACTGTATTGCATTGTGTTTTTAATGTAGGCTAATATACAACATACATGGTATAGAAATCTTAAAAATAATAAAAAAAATTACCTTTGCTTAAGGCTGAACATCTTCATTCCCTTAGCTGCAGTCTTCTTCCCCCCACTGTATGTGTGACTTGATGTGCCCATGCATACTTTTCTGTAGATCGGATCTTTTTCAGTATTGGCTGATTGCTCTTTAGAAAGGTATAGAAGTCACTGCAAGATGTTTCTCGGAAGTTGTACTGTACAGTCAGAATGCCTTTCATTGTTTCAACACTCAATTTGTTCCTTTCCTTTGTCCATTGACTTTGCAACAGTGAAAAAACTCTTTCTACATTTGCATTGTGAGATGATATAGCAAAGAAGAATTGTGCAATTCTTAGCAATTCTGAGTGGCATTCAATGTTCTTTGGTTTTTCAAAGTATCTGGTCCACTTTTTATGTGTTGGCAGATTACTAAATTATTCACCACTCTTGTAATTTTCCACAAACTGCTTCAGGTTATTAACTTGGTCAAAACACCTCATCAACTTCTACCCCCTTATCAATCAAATATTTGACAGCTAAGTTGACAACACCGTACAGGCGTACACGTGACTTATCAGCTGACGAAAACTGAACGAGATCCCTACGGTTTCCACCCCTCCCCCCTCTCTCCCGTCATTACAGTTTCATGTTTTTTTCCGTGGAGAAAATGATGGAAGCTGAAATTCCGGACTTTTGAGGAATTTTAACAACTACTTCCGGATGAAGATTTCGAGACCTAAATGGAGGACATGTCCGGGAAAATACGGACGTATGGCAACCCTAAAGATACATCAACAGCTAAGATCAAATATGAAACAGATCTGGGTGTGTATGTTGACAACGAACTGAAGTTCTCAGACCATTGTGAAAAGAAAAGAAATCACGCAAATAACATGTGAGCCTTTTATGAAGATCATTCACATGCCTAGATGGCCCGTCCTTCATAACGCTCTTCAAAAGTGAGGTAATTTCCCGAGAGTACTGTCACCCATATGGTCCCTGAGATAATACAATAGAGACTGCCAATTGATTAAGAACATCCAATGAAAAGCCACCAGACTTGTGCCTGCAGCACCTCAGGTACCCAGAATGATTTTTTAACATCTGCAGTTGCCTAGCTATTACAATAGACGGGCAAGGGGTGATTTAATAAAAGTCTTTAAGCATTTTAAAGGGCATTACTCAGACGAGTGCTCATATCTGGAGCTAGCGGATGCGTTCCCCCCGCCCTCCCAACAAGAAGTTACAGCCTTAGGTTAAAGAAACCACAGGTTTAGAAAATTGTCAGTGGTAATTTTTGGGGAGTGAGAGTTGAACGTTTGGTTCAATCTGCCAGAGGGTTTTGTGATGGCACCGAATATGAACTCATTCAAGACAAGACTTGATCAACACTGGCGCTAGTCCTGAAACATTATGGAGCCATTTCATGCCCAGTAATCACAAACAGTACATAAAGATCGCGACTGATCGCCCAAGCGCCTAACAGGCCCATCAGAAGCTATTGTATACCTGTCGCTATATAATGACGGGAACTAGTTTATTCCGCTTTGCGTTTCTCTATCACCTGGGTATGATAAACAGACCGTCGACGTCAGTGCAGTCCTCTCCTTCCATTAATATTCATTACCGGTTATATTATATAGCATTGGTGAATTTATTCACGTTTTCAGCTGTTTACATTACCCTCACGTATTCAGGATAGGCAAAACTGTTGTAAAAATCTCGTAGTTGTGGATATATTTCTGCCGCTCATACGTTTGGAAAGTTATAAACAATTGAGTAAATACAGTATATTGGTGGTATCTGAGTGTTGAGACTGTTATGTTGACATGTTTACAACCATTAGGTTAGATAAGGGAAGAAAATGCACAAGAATTTAACACGGGCCCATTATTGCTTTAATTAAAAACGCTGAAACATATTAAATTAATTACAGTCTTGATAACTACAGTCACACAGTGTTAGTATTGTCGTGCAACAGATGTATACTGTACTGTGTGTGTGCGTGTGTGTGTATTTTGTTGTATTTAGAAAGGTAATGGGTATTGTAGATTGGAGTAAGCGTATAGCATATGGCCTTGCACGTCATGCGTAGTCCGGGGCCCCACTACTCGACTGAGTTTTGGGTTAGCCTTGTAAGGAGCAGAAGTACGTCGATTCGACCAAGTTTTTTGTGATTATAATACCGTACTAGCGCGAGTTAAGCCTTGATCTTCGCCAAGCTGGTACAGGTTAGATTCATTGATACATTAGTTTGTGATTTATGGCTAAAGTTTGCCTTGTAACACGTTTGAAGTGGTATATTAGTTCGTAGACTTGTAGGGTGTTATTCAAGGTTTCTGATAGTTAAGCATGACGAGGCATGTACACTAAGTTTATATTTGGTGGATAACTATTCTTGTTTTTTAATTCCAGATAATATTTGACAAAATGGATGGTCCTATAATTGAAGAACTTCCCATGATGAGGAGTATGTCTCCTTCAACTCTGTTCGGTGAACGCATAGAGATTGATTTCAGTCAAACGTTAATAAAAGGTCCAACTAAAACTGTGGAAATAACTCCAACCGAAGCATATCTTCCTTCCTCTGAAAATATCAAGAACAGAAAGAATAAATCATCAGAGGTAAGTGCATTATTTTTTAATTGTGTTTTGTCCTTACATCGTGTGTGTAAAATACATAATAGTCACCTTTTGTCAAACGCACATTTAAAAACTCGCTATACTTCCACAACGTGTTAATAAATACGTCATGGAATATAAGCCAATCACAGAACAAGTTTGTAAACGTCACCGAGGTACCAGCCAATCATAGGCCGCAGTGGATCTGTGTGTTGTGTATCGTTCAACCTTGGTGATTCACAAGGTGGTACTGATCGTCTCCAAATTTTGTTGCATTTCATGATTATCTTAGAGTGCACATTGAAAGCAGTTGTGTATAAGAAGCCACCAATTAATGGAGGTTTGGGATATTATTCCATAATGCCAGAAAACGGCCAGAAAAAAGTGTAATAATGTTAAGGCCGGTGTGGTCATGCTGTGGTGTTGTTCATGAACGCTTCCTTGTGAACATTGAAATGTGTGCCAGAAATTGAATATCAGTATTTTGGAAAATAACATGTGTGTTAGAACGACAGAAAAGGGGTGTCTATTATACTGTGCAACTTTTCAGTGTTCTAGATGATTCTTTATCAGCTGAGAAGCAGCTGGCCAATGTTTACCATGAGAGTCCGTTTTCTGTGATACCTCAGCAACTCTTGACACAAACCAAGATTTTGCCACTCAAAATAATGATGTATCCTTAATTACCGCTCTCTTCTTGGCCCAAGAGCAAGTGTTTTAAGGAGATTATATTAAGAAAGTGTTAACTGTGAAAATATAACTCAGTGTTTTAAAGGAAACCTACTTAGTACCATTAAGAAATACAGTACAGGTTTTTGTTGTCCGGGTCATGTGAAATACCGTCAGTCAATGGTATTTGGTCCCTGAAGGTGGAGTGTTACTCACGTTGATTAATGTTCGTGTGCTCGGTCTGTCCACTTGAATTACTGTGTATACTGTAACCTCACGACTCATAAGGAGTTTGTAAAGTTCATGGTAGTGACTAAGAACATTGTGATGATTTACCAGGCACATTACTGACAATCTAAGCTGATATCTTAACAGTGTTGCCCAGCAAAATTTTTAACTGAAATGTTACTGTGGACGAAACCCCTTTAATTTGATTATCTTTATTTATTACAAAATTGGTATCGAAATAACAGGTGCGGGAGTAAGATTCTGGGTACAGTATTACGTATTAATTATTATGGTATTTAAGTTAAGTGTGTTAAAAGCTGGTCAGCACTTACAAGGTTACATATTTAGTAGTTGCCAATACCTAATTGACATTTAAAAGTGAGTTTTTATATTATAAATCATCGTGGTAAATACAAATATGACCTTCATTGCCTCTGAAAATGAGCTGTTGTTGAGAATTAAAAAAAAGTGAAAGGTCAAAAAAAAAAAACCCTAGGTAAAGTTATTGCTTGTCATGTAGCAAATTCTAGGATTTTAAGTTGAGGGGTAGTATGAAGAATTCTAGGACACTTTTCTTCTTAAGCATTTCCATCGGAAATTTATGTGTTTCGAGTATTTAATCAATAAAATTACCAACAATATTACTTGTTTAAAGTGGGCAGGGTATTGAAGTAGAGAGAAAATGTTGGGTAAATTTAAAAAAAAATCCGCGAAACAAACTTTTGAAAATCTGATCTGTTTCCTAATCTTCAAAAATCCAAAATCTATAAAAAGTTGACCTTATTCATGTTTTCAGTGATCGGTAGGTGATGTTTTCGGTATTTAGTATTTGTTAGTATTGTTTTCGGTGTTCAGATAAGGAGGGATCCATAAACTTGAAAGTGGTTCTTAACATTTTTACCTGTCAGGAAATGTTAGGTAAGGTTTTCAAGGGTTTGTTTGGTGTTATTTTTAGTATTTTACTCCACATTTTCCCTTTACTTCAAAGCCCTGCCTACTTTAAACAAGTAATATTGTTGGTAATGTTATCGATTAAAATACTACTCAAAACCTATAAATTTCCGAAGGAAGTGCTATTGAAGGAAAGGGTATTGGAATTGTCTGAACTAATGATTCCAAAACTTAAAATCCTAAAACTCTCTACATGCTAAATATTATACTAGTAATACCAAAACCTAACCTAACCCCTAGTGTGTAGGAAACATGCCTTAAGTAAGAGATACAGGAGGATAGAGTGATGTGACTTGAATGAGGAAGTGGTGTCTTGGTCAGTGTCCGTCTCTTACCACAATACCATGCTTGGCGATCTATACGGTACCTGAACTGACACTGAATTACATCTTGCACACTTTATAGATGAAACAAGAACACCGTGAACCCTAAAAATGTCAATGGTTGCTGCTTCATTGTCCAAACCACGCTGAATATTGCGCCAGTCAGCCAATGCACAACCTTTCCACATCGACTGATCTTCTAACTACCCGTGAATCGAGACGCGCTGATTAGCACAAGAGTATTACTTTATACTGGCACTCATGGCTATTGGCACGACTATGACATCACATCAACACTCAGGCTGATTGGCCGAATATTATAAAATAAAAGTTAAGATAACTCAAAAACTATAAACTCCCACATGTTATAGAATAAGTTACTTTTTATTTCTCATTCTTCCTATATATGACTCGGTATACAGTTAGGTGTTAGCAACTACTAAATATTAACCCTTACAAGGCTTCTGGATTTGCTGTTAAGAGAACAGATATTGGCAATACTTAACATGATTTTCACACTAAAGCCACTTATTTTCGAATAGTTATTCATTGAAGAAACCCACCTTGTGTAGAAAATACCAAGAAGTACTAGTAATTGCAAATTTTTGTTCTGCGCACTAATGTACAGTTCCCAGCAAAAGTTCTCCCACAGCCCTGTTTATCAAATTGTAGGACTTTTGCTGGCAACTGTACATCCACCTGCTTCCAGCGATCATTTCATATTACCGTTAACGAAAGCTTCCAGGAAATGGTATATACAATACACACCATGATTTATGTCTCATAAGGTGAACATTAGGGGGCAGTGAAATTTTGCTCAAAGCTGCACTCTTCAGGCATTGTTCCTTATACATATCTAAGACTCCATGCCAAATTTGAAGCTGATATGTCGAGGTTTAGTCTGCCGCATTTTCTACTGAAATTTTTAAATTTACCTACAGTACTAGCCAAACAGCAGCTGTGGCGGTGCAATGTTCTGTTCAGTGTTTATCAACTTTTTTTTCATATCTCTTATTTCATTTAAGTTGTCTTGTTGCAGATGAGTATGGTGCTATATCTATATTGATTATCAGCCTTTTCTCATTTCATTTCTCAATGTTGTGTTACTGTACTGTAATGTAGGGGAGACCTGGGTAAGTTGGCGCACTTGAAATGGCTAGTTTAGATAATTTGACGTCACTCTATTTTGATGGTAAGAAGACCGCCACTAGTGTGATGATAAAGAATGAGAAGACCGAGAAATGGAGTTCGAGGGTGATGGTGAAAGATCATTATGTCATCATGGTTGAGCCTGGCAATGAATATCTCACACATGTGACTCCCAAGACTGGACACGGAAAGCAGATTGCCAAAACTATTCACTAGTTTCTGTGGAGAAAAATCTAACCCAGCAGCCCATTGTGTGTGTTGGTTGTGATGGAACCAATGTAAATGTAGGATCAGAAAATGGAGTCATTCATCATCTTGAAATGTTACTTGGTCACCCGCTCCATTATTTCATATGTCAGCTTCACGGAAATGAGCTGCCTTTCCGCGCAGTTTTTTATCACTATGATGGTAAACCAAGTGGTCCTGAGCATTGGCGTGGTCCCATTGGAAAGCAGATCAAGGAGTCTTTGTCTGAGCTTCCAGTTGTCGCCTTCCAGCCAGTCAGTTTCCCTGATTTCCCTGTGTTTAATGATGAAGTGGAGAAAGATCTGTCCTGGGATCAGAAATACCTGTATAGGATTTGTAAAGGAGTTATCACAGGTGTTGTTGAAGATGACTTGGCTGCTATTGAGCCAGGTCCTCCCTGTGTGTCAAGGTGGAACACCTTATGGAGTAGAATCCTCAGGCTGTATGTAGCAACATCAAGACCCAGCCATGAGTTGAAAAGAATTGTCATTACAATAATAAAGTTCAGTGCTCCAATGTGGTTTTACATCAAGATACACCCTTACGTAACACACGGCTCAAGGAACGTATTCCAGTCCCTGCTATATATGAAACACCTGAATAGTGAGGAGGAGACGATAGTGAAGAAGGCTGTCCAGAGAAATGCATACTTCGCCCACACAGATCAACTTCTTCTTGGTATGTGTGCAGATGAGGACATGACTGTTAGAGAAAAAGCTGTCTCAATGATAAGAAAAATTAGAGAGGAGAATCAGCAAAAGGAAGAATGCACTGGCAGATCTGAAGAGGAGGAGGAAGATTCTGATGCTGCTGTTGACGAGAATTTGTTAAACTATACTGATGAGGAGGGTAAAGATGGAGATGGGAATGAGGATGTGCCTCCTGTAGTCAACATGAGAAAGGTGGTGACTCCAAAACTAAAGTGGCAAGCAAAAAACTATCATTCCATGATTAACTGGAGGAATGAACTCAAGACTGAGCCTCCTTACATTGCTTCTCTGTCAAATCTACAGGTTAATGACATTCTTGAGACACCATTAGTGGTGCCCAAGTGGCCAAACAGCACTCAGGCGGTCGAGAGAGGCATAAAAGTGATGACTGAAGCTTGCACTGAAGTGACGGGATACGAATCGAGAGATGGATATATTAGGCAAAGATTATTGTCTAGGAAAATGATGCCAAGGTTCCGCACAAAAAAGAATTTCAATATGAACTTGTAATGATTTTCTATACGGTGTACCTGTAAAATAACATGTGAATTAAATCGATGTCACCCATGTAAAATTTATCATTATCCTGGAAAACATTAAATGACACCTAATTTTTGGCATACACTAAAAGTTGACAAAAAGTCGTTCGCGATGCGGCAGGGTAAGTATGCATGAAATGGCATGAAATTTTGCACAGGTGTTTGTTACAGCCATACAAACGATGCCTGAAAAGTGCAGCCTGCAACTCAAATAAAAGTGTTTTTTCCCTGCCCCCTAGTGAACATACTTAACCTACCTCTCCTAGCAGTGTGAGTGACACTGTACAGCATCAGTAATATAAACACTGGGAACACATTGTGCTCATTTTAAGTTCAATAAAAAGTGTGCATTGTTGCTAAGGAAGGCCTTCTGAAATACTGTACTGTATACTTTGTAAAAAAAAATTTTCAAGTGATTTCAAGACTTATTTA